ATATATTAACAATTAATTTTTACTTACCCAACTTAATTAACTAACCCAATACTAACATAACTTAAATTTCACAATCCATTATTTATTCAAATTTTCCAAACCCAATTCTCACTTCTCAGCCCAACCCAATTTTTTTTTTTTTTTAATCTAATATCCTTATTTCCTAATCTTAATTGCCCAAATTCACAGCCCAAGCCCAATTTACATATAATTATAACCCTAGCTGCCACATTTTACATTTTTACTTAGCCAAAAATCAGCCCCCCTTTTTGCTTGCCGTAGCCGCTTCTTTCTTGCAAATTCTAATTTCTGAATTAGGGATTTCCCACTTCTGCGACTTTCCTCTCGCCTCTCGGACCTCTCCAGTCTCCTCTAATCCTCTGTCACACTCACACTCTTCACTCTCACTCATGCTCAAACTCAGCCCTCATCTCCAGATTCTCCATAGCCCACTGTGAATCGGACCAATCGGTGCTTCCCTTCACTCCTTCACTCCTTCAGCTCTCACCTCTCACCGACTCTGCTCTGCTACTCACCGTGCCTACTCTACTCTCTCGGTCGACTCACCTTCACAGAATCACAGCAATACCCTTCAACTCTCGACATCTCACGGACAGACGACTCACTCACGGTGCCATACTGCCATCGGCCCATCACTACAGCCCTTGGCCCTTGCTGCCCTGCAACTCTCCGCTCACCTCCAGCTGAGCTCCAAGGCTGCTGCTGGGTCGGCTCTGCCAGCCTCTCACCGTCTGCAAGTCAGCACCGCTCACCTCCTGCAAGTCAGCACCGCTCACCTCCAGCTCCAGCTCCTCCAAGGCTGGGTCGTCCTCTTTCAGTTATATAGTCGCGTGGCTTCCTCTGCAGCTTTGCCTCAAATACTTTTCAAACTCTCCAACTCTAGGTATCAATTAGATGCAGTTTCTAAAGCTATCATTTTTGTGTTTTGCTTTAATGATTCTAACTAGTATAATTTAATTTTTGTGCTTGAGTGATTTAGTGTTTCTAATTAGTAATTTTTGTATTTTTAATTAGTAATTTTTAATTTAATTTTTGTACTTTAGTGCTTGAGTATTTTTAACTAGAGGGTATACCAAAGTGGGGGTGCATAATAATGCTTGATCATAGTAATTTTTAATTTAATTTTTGTGCTTTATTGGTTTGTGCTTTACTGGTTTGTGCTTTAGTGTTTTTAACTATTAATTTTTAATTTAATTCATTTTTAGGTATGTCTTCACAAGAGCCTAGCCCCCCATTGATTCAAATTCCAAATGAATCAAGTGCAAGTATTATACCGAGTGCTGTTGCCACACCAACTTCATCCTCGGCTATGGTTCCTCTTCCTCTTGCATTAGAAAGTGGTACTGGTGAAGATAAAAAAGATGATCAAGG